ACGAGAGGAACCGTCGGTTCAGATAATTGGTAAATGCAGTTAGCTGAAAAGCTAGTGCTGCGAAGCTACCATCTGTAGGATTATGGCTGAACGCCTCTAAGTCAGAATCCATGCTGGAATAGACGATAATCACCTTTCCTGATGTACAAAGAATAACTATAGGTACACTCCTGTGTATCCAACATCATAAAATTGCAACGCACTCGGTCGGCCCTCAAATATGGCAGGCTGAGAGTATGCTGAAACACAATTTCAAATATTGGGAAAGATAAATCCTTTGTAGACGACTTAAATACAAAACCAAGTGTTGTAAGCATGAGAGTAGTCTTTGCACTACGATCTGCTGAGATTTAGCTTGTGTTTTACGATTTGTTCAGCAATGAACATTTCTCCCCCCATCAACAATCAAACAAAGCAATCTAGCCCATCAAGCATTGTATTAACAATGCTAGGCGGCTTTGCTATAAAGGTGCGCAAGGCGTCTAGGTCACGTAAGAGTTTCGACAAGTCATTGGTTTCTCGCAAGGTAGCCTAAGTCGTCATAGTACAAGCTCAAATCGGCCAAGTGTTCAATACTTGGCCAGGCGACTCTATACACGGACCAAGGAGCTTTCATCAGTGCTACTACTACTTGTTGTATTTCAACAAGTGTAGTCGTGCTGATGAAAGCATCAGGGTGGGTACCAGGATTCTCTGCAAGTACTTAGCAGTAGGGTCTGCAGTAGGGCCAAAATTGGAGTAGAGCAATAATTTCAGGTTTTGGCTCTGCTGATGCCTGCAGGCATTCTAGTTGGTAGGTAGTAGTCCCTACTAGCGACTCCAAGTGTCGGGACATCTATCAGAGCTCTTGGTGAAATACAGGGCGAGTCCATGCCTGCAGTAGGGCCAAAATTGGAGTAGAGCAATAATTTCAGGTTTTGGCTCTGCTGATGCCTGCAGGCATTCTAGTTGGTAGGTAGTAGTCCCTACTAACGACTCCAAGTGCCCAGGCATTCATCAGAGATGCTGGTGAAATACACGGCGAGTCCATAGATCCTGCAGTGGGGCCAAAACTGGGGTAGAGCAATAATTTCAGGTTTTGGCTCTGCTGATGCCTGCAGGCATTCTAGTTGGTAGGTAGTAGTCCCTACTAACGACTCCAAGTGCCCAGGCATTCATCAGAGATGCTGGTGAAATACACGGCGAGTCCATGCCTGCAGTAGGGCCAAAATTGGAGCAGAGCAATAATTTCAGGTTTTGGCTCTGCTGATGCCTGCAGGCATTCTAGTTGGTAGCTAGTGGTCGCTACTAACGACTCCAAGTGCCGAAAAAACTATTGGCGTCATCGGCGAAATACGCCAGCAGTCGGAATTTGGGCCCACTACAGCCAGAACTTGTTTAGGGCCATAATTTCTGGTTTTGACTTTTATTTTTTTGTCACTGGTCCTAGATGTGCCTATAGGTGCCTAGTAACGACTCAAGCGTCAAAAACTTATTGGGTCAATCGGCGAATTGATAAGCGAAAACGCGGAAATGAGCCCGTTTTGCGTGCATCCTCTACTGGCTTGCTACTGGAAAACGACGAGAATTTTGATTTTTTTTTTAAAGTTTAATGTTTGGCCTTGGATCGTGGCGCCGAATAAAACTTTTTGTTTTATTACGCTCCCGCCGGCCCAATTCCACTACTGCCTTGCTACTGGGCGCGGCTCGGTTTGGCAATATTTTTTTGGAAAAATCAATGTTTGGTGAAAATTTTGCCTACTGCCTTGCTACCGGGCGGCGACCGCGGGAATAAAACTTTTTGTTTTATTACGCTCCCGCCGGCCCATTTGCACTACTGCCTTGCTACTGGGCGCGGCTCGGTTTGGAATAATTTTTCTCCAAAAATCAATGTTTGGTGAAAATTTTGCCTACTGCCTTGCTACCGGGCGGCGACCGCGGGAATAAAACTTTTTGTTTTATTACGCTCCCGCCGGCCCATTTGCACTACTGCCTTGCTACTGGGCGCGGCTCGGTTTGGAATAATTTTTCTCCAAAAATCAATGTTTGGTGAAAATTTTGCCTACTGCCTTGCTACTTGGCGTCGAATTGGAATTGGTTTGGAATTCACCAAGATCGTATTACTGACTTGTACCCGGACGTTAGCTATGAATTGGTTTGGAATTCACCAAGATCGTATTACTGGCTTGTACCCGGACGTTAGCTATGAATTGGTTTGGAATTCACCAAGATCGTATTACTGGCTTGTACCCGGACGTTAGCTATGAATTGGTTTGGAATTCACCAAGATCGTATACTGGCTTGCTACTAGGCGTCGAATTGGAATTGAACCAAATTCACCAAGATCATACTACTGCCTTGCTACTAGGCGTCGAATTGGAATTGAACCAAATTCACCAAGATCATACTACTGCCTTGCTACTAGGCGTCGAATTGGAATTGAACCAAATTCACCAAGATCGTACTACTGGCTTGTACCTGGACGTGAAAATGAAATCTCGTCTAAAATGTCACTACTGGCTTGTTACTGAAGCAGTAGCAGTGCAGTAGTGGTCGAAATGCCCGATTTGGCCAGTTTTGCTATCGTAAATGGATCTCGATAGCAGCGCGCACTCTGAAAAATGCATTCTTGTACCCAAATCTATGCACAGGGCTGCAGTAGTGCCTGCCAGTAGCAGTTTTGAGCCAAATTCGTCAAGTTGGCCGGAAATTTTTTTTTTGGTGACAAGATAGCAAATTGTCTAGAATGGTTATAAAAGTGAGTTACATAGTCCATAGTGTCGTATTTAGTGAGAAAACAGCAAAACACGGATCGGGAATCGATCTGTGCACGGATCAAAGTGCTCGAAATGGACTGCAGATAGCATATCTAGTCGTCTTATGCCTAGTCTAGCACAGAAATATAGTTTAGTCGCACTCTGCAAACGATAATTTGGCAGTTCACTTTTCGAACGGCCCTTATGCCTGTAAAAAAGTGAACTGCCAAATACGATGGAAAAGGCGGCCGTTCCAGAATCGGCCATATTAGCCTGACTAGACTGCATCCCGTCCGCTCTGCAAAGTTACAGGCTCAGCGTGGGTAGTACTC